CATACGTGATGGTTAATGATAGCAAATATGCATATTGTCCTTGTTTGCTAAAGGCTTTAAGTGAGCAGCATAATTTGGAAGCCATGTGGATTATATATGCTCCAATTTTACTAATAATTCCGAAGATTAAAATTATAAAAGCATTTTCAGTGAGTCAAGACTTCTTCCATTAAAATTGCTTTTGGTAATTTCTGTTGTTGGTACTTCCGTGGAATTGGGGTGCTGTAATTTGTCAGAAAACTCCCATCTTTTCTCACTTCACTGATTTTTGATATTCTGCCTCTTGCTGTCAGTAAGTATGGCTTAACAATGTTATTAGTACTTTCAAGAAAAGTGTGATTGAAAAGAAACACTGTCCAGTCATGTTGCTTCTAAGTCTCATTGATTAATACCCATTGTTCTCTTTGCAGAGATCTTGTACACAGACAAACAGCCAGTGCCGTGGTGCAGCACATGTCCCTTGGTGTTTATGGCTTCGGCTGTGAAGATTCCCTTAATCACTTGTTAAATTACGTGTGGCCCAATGTGTTTGAAACGTCTCCTCACGTCATCCAGGCAGTTATGGGGGCTCTGGAGGGCCTCAGAGTCGCTATTGGGCCCTGCAGGATGTTACAGTACTGTTTACAGGTATGGCCTTGTGTGTGCTGGGTAGCAGAGAGCACTTGTCAGGCAGGGCTTCTTTCCAGGAGGCAAAAAAGATGATTTCCAGCAAAGGAGAAACTGGCCTTTTTCTCCAAAGTGTTGTTTAAATGAGGTGTTGTGTGCCAAGGACTTGAATAGTGGAAATAGGCAGTAAACAGAGAGTTTGATTTAGGGAGATAGCTGATTACATCACAGAACTCGTGTAGAAAGAGCAGAAAGACTATCAGTTGACTAAAATAGTCTGGCACTTTGATTTCTGAATTGGAAGCATCTCACGAATTTTGAGGATGTGAACTAATGACTGGGGAATAAATTAGCTGTGGGAGGGGTTATGACAAGTAATCAGTGAGATAAATAAATTAGAGGATAGGATTAATAGTCATGATTAGTCGTTAGCCAGGAAAAACAGATGTTTAGAAGAGTGCAGCACTATAAAACAGTGCTTTGATTAGACTTGATACTGCTAGGTCAGCATAGGCAGTTCAGCTTCTGTAAATGTGCATGGAGTGGTGAAATCTGAAGGCTCGTTTCCTTGTAATTGCATGTGACAGTGGCTGTGTTGGCTATGGAATTAAAACTCTTATAGCAGATGGGGAGCAAGGATTAAAGTAATGCAGGTCAGCATAGAGAAGGTGTGACAGCATTTTAGTAATTGTTTGCAGATAGGAAATTTCACATTTTTGCAGTGTGAGGACCTCAGCATGAAGATACTGACATCAGTAGGAAGGTGAAAGTCCCTTGCAATGTATATTTTTGCAAGTACTGTTTGTATTTTGTTATTACTTTGAACTGTTTTTTCCTAGGGCTTGTATGTTCTGCCCATTTATTAAATACTTATTTTGCAACGCTTGATTAAATTCAATAAAAGAACACTGGAACTTCTAGGTTTTTTTAATATTTTGTTCTGTTCTGTTTTCTAGGGTTTGTTTCACCCTGCCAGAAAAGTCAGAGATGTTTATTGGAAGATCTATAATTCAATCTACATTGGATCACAGGATGCTCTGATAGCACATTATCCAAGAATCTATAATGATGACAAGAACACCTATATTCGTTATGAACTTGATTACATCTTATAATCTTCTTGTTCAGTTGTTTGTGTTTAATGCACAGCTGTTGTTCAGTTAAATGCTTCAGATTTCATGATGTAAAATTTTAAAATTTTGGAGATCAGTGTAGAGCTGGTCAGAGGCAGAGCTAGGTATCCAGTAGCATGATTTTTTAAATATGTCCTTGTTTTTTGATGTTAAACAGTTAAAAGCCAGTAGTGACCAACAAAACAGTGATTACAATGTACTGGAGGGATTTTGTTTTGGATCCATCTTTATGAAGATTTAGATTTCATTCCTTGTGTTTAAAGGGGAAGTTTATTTGAGAAATAAACATTTGTGTATAAAAACTAATTTGTGTGTGGTTTTTGGACAGAGGGGCTTGTAAAATAAGTCCCTTTTGATTAAGTATTTGTTCATGTAATGAATAGGTGGTATAAAACATTTTAACCCTTTTTGTCATCCACTAGCTTTTGAATAAATAAGAAAAATGTACCAACTGTAGTTAATGTGTGTATCTTTGTCATGCAGTAATGTAGCTGTAGCCTGGCTGATGGTTGTAGTAGTATCAGTTTATTTTCATGGAAAAAGTAGTTGTTACTCTTTCATATGCAGTATCCTGGTGGACATGGCTGGTTAAATTTTCAGAAGTTAGCAGTTTTATTGTAAATTGCATTTGTAAAATCAGTTGTAAAAATTATGCATACTGATCATATTATGTTTTAAAAGTCAGATATTTATAGGCTGTGCTATAATTCTGTTAAAGAGCTAGGAAAGTTAAGTGCCCAGCACCTTAGGTGAGGCAGTTTCTAAGAAAAGCATTCTATTTTCTCATTTGCTTTTTGCCTTTTTTATGTGTGTACTACAAGGAAAAAGATCTTCCTATCAGTAAACCACCTAAAACCCAAGAATAAATGATTTTGGTCGTAGTGTACATTATATCATGTTTGTAAGGTAACAGCAGGCAGGAGCTGGCTGTCAGACACCTTGTCCTGTGAGTTCTTGACTCCAGTGATTCATTTCCATCTTAGCAAGTTCAGTGCAGTGGTGTTATCTGACTTCTCTGCTGTTTTACATAAATGTGAGACTCTTTAACTGTTCAACATATACAAAATTTTCATCTTACCTTTCAGGTCTAATTTTTTGTTAGGGGTTTGGGATGGCACAAAAGCAACTTGGAAGCCTTTTATTAATAAGGGTACTAATTTGTTAGGAAAGGGGGAAAGTGGCGTTTTTCAACAGTGAGTTGTATTTTAAAACTTAAGCAAATACCAGCTGCAACTTTTTGAGGTCTTTGTTGGTGAGCTGTTTCCTCTGAGAGTAAGGTGCATTCTAGTCTTTTTCTAGTGCTTTGTCACTGAATAGTATTGTTTGTATTACAGAGAGCCTGCCATCTTCATTGCCTCAGAAGTTCTGCAAGACAGAACCAAGCAAGTGCCAGTAGAGAGGGAGGAGGGCTGGAAAAAAGCACTGAGTTTTGAGAGATCTGAAACAGGTAGGAATGGATGATGGCTCCTGACTTCTAGATATGCTTCAGCAAATTCATTATTCTTAGAAAGAAGTAAAATTGCAAAAATTTTCTCAAAGTGGAGGGGAGCAACTTCAAATTGTTCTCATTTTTGTATTTGGAAGCCCATCACTTTTAGATAACAGAAATACTTTCAATAAATCTTTTTGAGGAAGATGCAAAATTTCCTTTGTTTCCTGAGGAAGACTGAAAGGGGAAGGAGAACTATTTGATGAAACAGAATTGTGCATAAAACTGATGTTCATGTTTGGGTTTTTTGCTATCCCAAAATATCTGGTATGAAATCAGATTTGAAGTGGCAGTATTGAAATGCAGTTCTTGATATGCAGAGTCATCAGGAAGCATTTTTATCCTTCTTGAGACTGTGGATCTGTGGAATTCTTATCTAAAGAAGCCATTTCTGGATCATAGACTGATGGGATTTTCTGGGAGCCTACAGCAGCTCTAAAGGGTTTTGCTTTTGTTGTTTAGCAACACACTGAGTCTTATTCAGCACAGGAAGATTAAGGAGGAAATTTGGGGGAAATAAATAACTACCTAGATACGACATCTGTCCACCTGTAGACAAACATGTTTCTTTTCCAGTACAACCTAAAGTCATTAATAAATGGGAGAGTTTTACTCTGAGGTGGTGGCTGGTATTCACCTGCAGACTTCTAGTTCTGGAGAGCAAAGCCCAAGGAGTTTAAATGAATGGAAGGATTTGGATCACTACTATTTAAATTCCTTTAATGGATAATTCATTCTGCCATTAATGCAGGAAAACAAGCTAAGTGAACAAAACATCTGCTGTTTTTCTACTTGTTTATAAAATGGGGGACGTGCCATGGCTTGGCAACTGAGAAGTTAACCTAGTCACAGAATTAGTGTGATATTTGATAAATACAAGTAATGAGCATAAAATCTGCATGTCCAGACAATCCCTCAACTTCCTTAATTAGGCTTTCTTTTAAAGGGAACTAAGCACCTTTCCAGTTGTCCTCCAATCCCCTTTCTGGATTTACATAGAGCTCCTAACTTAATCAATGAATTGCAAAAGAAGCTCTATGGACAGAAGCTTCACTGACAGTTCATTTTCCTGAACAGGCTCATCCAGCATGCTGAAAGAGGTGGAGTCACCTGTAAGAAAAAAAGGTATGTATTTTTTTTTATTTTAATCTGTTTTTAAAAATTAATTACAATTATGCATTTGGATAGGGGCAGTGAATTAGGAGAATGTAAGCCATAATTCTTTGGGCTCTTCCTATTTTAGAATATTATATTTTATCACTTAATGTGGGTTCTGATTGCATCTGGTTTTTTTTCATTTGTCCTTTTTAATGGAAAAAAAGGATGCAATGGTTGTATATACCCACATTTCCCTACAGTCTAAACTTCCCTATCAAAGGATGCCATGCCTCTACAGCTTGTACTGGTGGAGCTAGAATTAGCCAGGGCTAGCAGTTGTCCTTAAGGCATGCTAATCTTAAAAAGTGTGGGAGAATTTTTTTGGTTTGTCCAAGCTTATTTCACAGAGCAGCTGAAGATAAGGATCTAAAGTTTCCTAAAAACAAACATAAAATTGAGTTGCATTTTATTGCTTACACTTCTGTGTCTTCTGATCTAATTTCACACACATACACCTTCTTCACTGCTTGTCTCTCGTTTAGCCATGGATCTCTCTAACCTGCATCACTCACCTCATTTGCTGCCCTGAATGCCCTGTGTCAGACTTCNTATCTAACCTTTGTGGGCAATTACTGTAGCAAAAGCTCAAGGTGGCATCTGGGTGCATATTGTCGTATCTCTTGATATTTCTCAAGTTATGCATACACACTGTTGAATTACCTAATAAAGGAAATGCTTAAGCTTACCTCTGTCGATAGCAAATGAATAGGTGCTACAGTTTGTGGCTTAATTTAAAAACTTCTCACATCACTTAAGAGATTCTTCTATCTTTATTGTCTTTCAGAGGTGCAGAGTACGTTTCTGCAAGAGAATGGATGAGGATCTGCTTTGAACTGCTTGAATTATTAAAAGCTCACAAGAAAGCTATCAGAAGAGCCACAGTGAACACTTTTGGTTATATTGCAAAAGCTATTGGGTAAGTTGGTTTAATGCTTATCCACATCTGCACAGAGCTAGCAGAGATAGTGATGATTGTTAGTTTTCTGGTGGGAAATATTCGAATTTCTCTACATTTTATATATACGGACATGGTTTTATTCGTTTTGAAGAATACAGTCACGTATTCTTCATTAACACAGGATGTTGCACTTGTGCACTGAATTTGTGGACTAATAAGGTTAGAGTCTTATTTGGGAGTAAGAGCTCTTGTCTCATGAATTTTTGATACTGTAATGTGCATTCAGACCTTCTTTGTATTATTTCATAAACTCTCCTTTAAATAATTTATCTTCGCTTTTTTTCTCCTTCCCCTTCCTCCCATGAAATCAGTAGTTTTATTGAATTTTAAAGGTTTGCTCCCACTAAGGTCATGCTACAAGTCAGCACATTTTAGACTGAAGCACAGTTGCCACCTTTATGTGTGTTCTGTGACTGACTGACTGAATGCAGATAGAGCAAGCAGCCAGGAGTGCTGTAATTGTTCTCCATGCAGGACATGACCTATCTCTGTCAATGCTTATGGTTTTATAAAGTCTGTAATTTCCTCTGGGATCAGAGTAATAGTGGGGAGGCTCTGCTACCCTGCAGAGTTCACAAGAGGAAGAAGGAAGGCAGGGAAAAAGCCAAGTCTAGATAAAGTAAAAAATGTTGGCTGTGGAAATAAATCCTTAAGCTGTTCTAGAGTTTAGTGTTTCATGTTTAGTGTTCAGTTTGTTTCCCAATTCTCTCAACTTTTTATGAGGGCTAAACCATGTTTCTCTGCCACTTCTTTGATGCTTAAGTATTTTTTGCTGAATCCTCACTGACATGGATGCCTATGCTGTCTTTTCCAGACCTCACGATGTGTTGGCCACACTGCTAAACAACTTGAAAGTACAGGAAAGGCAGAACAGAGTGTGTACTACAGTAGCAATTGCTATTGTGGCTGAAACATGCTCACCTTTCACAGTGCTGCCTGCACTCATGAATGAATACAGAGTTCCAGAACTGAATGTCCAGAATGGTGTGTTAAAGTCTCTTTCTTTCCTGTTTGAATACATTGGAGAGATGGGAAAAGATTACATTTATGCTGTTACACCATTGCTTGAAGATGCTTTAATGGACAGGTGAGTGCACTTCTGTGGTACAGTTACCCATAGTCCATACGTGATGGTTAATGATAGCAAATATGCATATTGTCCTTGTTTGCTAAAGGCTTTAAGTGAGCAGCATAATTTGGAAGCCATGTGGATTATATATGCTCCAATTTTACTAATAATTCCGAAGATTAAAATTATAAAAGCATTTTCAGTGAGTCAAGACTTCTTCCATTAAAACTGCTTTTGGTAATTTCTATTGTTGGTACTTCCGTGGAATTGGGGTGCTGTAATTTGTCAGAAAACTCCCATCTTTTCTCACTTCACTGATTTTTGATATTCTGCCTCTTGCTGTCAGTAAGTATGGCTTAACAATGTTATTAGTACTTTCAAGAAAAGTGTGATTGAAAAGAAACACTGTCCAGTCATGTTGCTTCTAAGTCTCATTGATTAATACCCATTGTTCTCTTTGCAGAGATCTTGTACACAGACAAACAGCCAGTGCCGTGGTGCAGCACATGTCCCTTGGTGTTTATGGCTTCGGCTGTGAAGATTCCCTTAATCACTTGTTAAATTACGTGTGGCCCAATGTGTTTGAAACGTCTCCTCACGTCATCCAGGCAGTTATGGGGGCTCTGGAGGGCCTCAGAGTCGCTATTGGGCCCTGCAGGATGTTACAGTACTGTTTACAGGTATGGCCTTGTGTGTGCTGGGTAGCAGAGAGCACTTGTCAGGCAGGGCTTCTTTCCAGGAGGCAAAAAAGATGATTTCCAGCAAAGGAGAAACTGGCCTTTTTCTCCAAAGTGTTGTTTAAATGAGGTGTTGTGTGCCAAGGACTTGAATAGTGGAAATAGGCAGTAAACAGAGAGTTTGATTTAGGGAGATAGCTGATTACATCACAGAACTCGTGTAGAAAGAGCAGAAAGACTATCAGTTGACTAAAATAGTCTGGCACTTTGATTTCTGAATTGGAAGCATCTCACGAATTTTGAGGATGTGAACTAATGACTGGGGAATAAATTAGCTGTGGGAGGGGTTATGACAAGTAATCAGTGAGATAAATAAATTAGAGGATAGGATTAATAGTCATGATTAGTCGTTAGCCAGGAAAAACAGATGTTTAGAAGAGTGCAGCACTATAAAACAGTGCTTTGATTAGACTTGATACTGCTAGGTCAGCATAGGCAGTTCAGCTTCTGTAAATGTGCATGGAGTGGTGAAATCTGAAGGCTCGTTTCCTTGTAATTGCATGTGACAGTGGCTGTGTTGGCTATGGAATTAAAACTCTTATAGCAGATGGGGAGCAAGGATTAAAGTAATGCAGGTCAGCATAGAGAAGGTGTGACAGCATTTTAGTAATTGTTTGCAGATAGGAAATTTCACATTTTTGCAGTGTGAGGACCTCAGCATGAAGATACTGACATCAGTAGGAAGGTGAAAGTCCCTTGCAATGTATATTTTTGCAAGTACTGTTTGTATTTTGTTATTACTTTGAACTGTTTTTTCCTAGGGCTTGTATGTTCTGCCCATTTATTAAATACTTATTTTGCAACGCTTGATTAAATTCAATAAAAGAACACTGGAACTTCTAGGTTTTTTTAATATTTTGTTCTGTTCTGTTTTCTAGGGTTTGTTTCACCCTGCCAGAAAAGTCAGAGATGTTTATTGGAAGATCTATAATTCAATCTACATTGGATCACAGGATGCTCTGATAGCACATTATCCAAGAATCTATAATGATGACAAGAACACCTATATTCGTTATGAACTTGATTACATCTTATAATCTTCTTGTTCAGTTGTTTGTGTTTAATGCACAGCTGTTGTTCAGTTAAATGCTTCAGATTTCATGATGTAAAATTTTAAAATTTTGGAGATCAGTGTAGAGCTGGTCAGAGGCAGAGCTAGGTATCCAGTAGCATGATTTTTTAAATATGTCCTTGTTTTTTGATGTTAAACAGTTAAAAGCCAGTAGTGACCAACAAAACAGTGATTACAATGTACTGGAGGGATTTTGTTTTGGATCCATCTTTATGAAGATTTAGATTTCATTCCTTGTGTTTAAAGGGGAAGTTTATTTGAGAAATAAACATTTGTGTATAAAAACTAATTTGTGTGTGGTTTTTGGACAGAGGGGCTTGTAAAATAAGTCCCTTTTGATTAAGTATTTGTTCATGTAATGAATAGGTGGTATAAAACATTTTAACCCTTTTTGTCATCCACTAGCTTTTGAATAAATAAGAAAAATGTACCAACTGTAGTTAATGTGTGTATCTTTGTCATGCAGTAATGTAGCTGTAGCCTGGCTGATGGTTGTAGTAGTATCAGTTTATTTTCATGGAAAAAGTAGTTGTTACTCTTTCATATGCAGTATCCTGGTGGACATGGCTGGTTAAATTTTCAGAAGTTAGCAGTTTTATTGTAAATTGCATTTGTAAAATCAGTTGTAAAAATTATGCATACTGATCATATTATGTTTTAAAAGTCAGATATTTATAGGCTGTGCTATAATTCTGTTAAAGAGCTAGGAAAGTTAAGTGCCCAGCACCTTAGGTGAGGCAGTTTCTAAGAAAAGCATTCTATTTTCTCATTTGCTTTTTGCCTTTTTTATGTGTGTACTACAAGGAAAAAGATCTTCCTATCAGTAAACCACCTAAAACCCAAGAATAAATGATTTTGGTCGTAGTGTACATTATATCATGTTTGTAAGGTAACAGCAGGCAGGAGCTGGCTGTCAGACACCTTGTCCTGTGAGTTCTTGACTCCAGTGATTCATTTCCATCTTAGCAAGTTCAGTGCAGTGGTGTTATCTGACTTCTCTGCTGTTTTACATAAATGTGAGACTCTTTAACTGTTCAACATATACAAAATTTTCATCTTACCTTTCAGGTCTAATTTTTTGTTAGGGGTTTGGGATGGCACAAAAGCAACTTGGAAGCCTTTTATTAATAAGGGTACTAATTTGTTAGGAAAGGGGGAAAGTGGCGTTTTTCAACAGTGAGTTGTATTTTAAAACTTAAGCAAATACCAGCTGCAACTTTTTGAGGTCTTTGTTGGTGAGCTGTTTCCTCTGAGAGTAAGGTGCATTCTAGTCTTTTTCTAGTGCTTTGTCACTGAATAGTATTGTTTGTATTACAGAGAGCCTGCCATCTTCATTGCCTCAGAAGTTCTGCAAGACAGAACCAAGCAAGTGCCAGTAGAGAGGGAGGAGGGCTGGAAAAAAGCACTGAGTTTTGAGAGATCTGAAACAGGTAGGAATGGATGATGGCTCCTGACTTCTAGATATGCTTCAGCAAATTCATTATTCTTAGAAAGAAGTAAAATTGCAAAAATTTTCTCAAAGTGGAGGGGAGCAACTTCAAATTGTTCTCATTTTTGTATTTGGAAGCCCATCACTTTTAGATAACAGAAATACTTTCAATAAATCTTTTTGAGGAAGATGCAAAATTTCCTTTGTTTCCTGAGGAAGACTGAAAGGGGAAGGAGAACTATTTGATGAAACAGAATTGTGCATAAAACTGATGTTCATGTTTGGGTTTTTTGCTATCCCAAAATATCTGGTATGAAATCAGATTTGAAGTGGCAGTATTGAAATGCAGTTCTTGATATGCAGAGTCATCAGGAAGCATTTTTATCCTTCTTGAGACTGTGGATCTGTGGAATTCTTATCTAAAGAAGCCATTTCTGGATCATAGACTGATGGGATTTTCTGGGAGCCTACAGCAGCTCTAAAGGGTTTTGCTTTTGTTGTTTAGCAGCACACTGAGTCTTATTCAGCACAGGAAGATTAAGGAGGAAATTTGGGGGAAATAAATAACTACCTAGATACGACATCTGTCCACCTGTAGACAAACATGTTTCTTTTCCAGTACAACCTAAAGTCATTAATAAATGGGAGAGTTTTACTCTGAGGTGGTGGCTGGTATTCACCTGCAGACTTCTAGTTCTGGAGAGCAAAGCCCAAGGAGTTTAAATGAATGGAAGGATTTGGATCACTACTATTTAAATTCCTTTAATGGATAATTCATTCTGCCATTAATGCAGGAAAACAAGCTAAGTGAACAAAACATCTGCTGTTTTTCTACTTGTTTATAAAATGGGGGACGTGCCATGGCTTGGCAACTGAGAAGTTAACCTAGTCACAGAATTAGTGTGATATTTGATAAATACAAGTAATGAGCATAAAATCTGCATGTCCAGACAATCCCTCAACTTCCTTAATTAGGCTTTCTTTTAAAGGGAACTAAGCACCTTTCCAGTTGTCCTCCAATCCCCTTTCTGGATTTACATAGAGCTCCTAACTTAATCAATGAATTGCAAAAGAAGCTCTATGGACAGAAGCTTCACTGACAGTTCATTTTCCTGAACAGGCTCATCCAGCATGCTGAAAGAGGTGGAGTCACCTGTAAGAAAAAAAGGTATGTATTTTTTTTTATTTTAATCTGTTTTTAAAAATTAATTACAATTATGCATTTGGATAGGGGCAGTGAATTAGGAGAATGTAAGCCATAATTCTTTGGGCTCTTCCTATTTTAGAATATTATATTTTATCACTTAATGTGGGTTCTGATTGCATCTGGTTTTTTTTCATTTGTCCTTTTTAATGGAAAAAAAGGATGCAATGGTTGTATATACCCACATTTCCCTACAGTCTAAACTTCCCTATCAAAGGATGCCATGCCTCTACAGCTTGTACTGGTGGAGCTAGAATTAGCCAGGGCTAGCAGTTGTCCTTAAGGCATGCTAATCTTAAAAAGTGTGGGAGAATTTTTTTGGTTTGTCCAAGCTTATTTCACAGAGCAGCTGAAGATAAGGATCTAAAGTTTCCTAAAAACAAACATAAAATTGAGTTGCATTTTATTGCTTACACTTCTGTGTCTTCTGATCTAATTTCACACACATACACCTTCTTCACTGCTTGTCTCTCGTTTAGCCATGGATCTCTCTAACCTGCATCACTCACCTCATTTGCTGCCCTGAATGCCCTGTGTCAGACTTCTTTCACCTTGCATGTCTTGGCACTGTAGCAGAGGTGGCAGTGAGAGCACTGAAGAGAAATTTTCCTGCCCTCCTGGTTGCATTTGCCACTGCAGCAGTTCCTGGATGTGTGGAGAGTCACTCACTATTGGAAGAGTCTCACTCTGATTCTGCTGCTCAGGCTCAGGGGGCTTTGGAAGAACATAGCTGCCAAGTTTTAATTGTTTTGGAAAATACTAGGGAGTACAATGTGCAAATATAGTCTGGTCTTTCTTGCCCAGCCTGAGCTACAGGGGCTCTTCCTCTGCGAAGCAAAGTGGAGATGGAGCCTGTTCAGTGGTTTTTTACATTCAGCTTCTTGATCTTATAGTGGAGTCATTTTAGGAGTCAGATTGAATTTGTCAATGTTCTGTCCAGACAAGAAAATTGAATGCTAAGTTACTAAAATGCTGTGTTTTCTGTGATGGTCTCCCCTGTGTATCTCCAGAGGGAACATTGCAAAGTTTATTTCCAAGCACAGCAGAATTTCAGCCTCAGCTGCTGCTTGAGGCAGAGTTAACAAGTTCAGATTCATAAATAAAGGTTTGCAGGTAATCCTGTAAGTATTTTGCTGGTTGTTATTGCAGACATAAGGTCAAGATAAATTCACCTTTTTTCAGAGATCCTGAGATGGCTTAAGGAATGGCAGCTGTTTTCAGAAGAACAGAATTTTGATGCCCAGAATAAAACTTTGAGATTTTTTTTGACAGAATTTCAAAGAATTATGCAGCCAAGTAGGAATGTGATAATTTTAAAGTAAAATTGCATGCAAGAGTCCTCAGTCTTTAGCCAGACTCCTAACATTTTGTTCATGTCAATGAAGTAATTCTAGTCTCTGAAAAATGGTTGATTGTGAAGTAGCTTCTGACATGTTACAAAAGAGCTTGGAGATTAGTATGGTTGTAATAAACAGAATGATCATAACAACAAATACTAGGAATCATTAGGAGTGTTTGTTATCAGCTGTGACATACATGCTGTTTACTGGCTTCACAGGCAAACTAAACCAGAGTGTTTTCCTTATCAATTTTGCAGCCATGTGATGCCCAGAGATTACATAGCACAAGTTCTCTTTTCTGTTACTTTTTACAAGTTCGTCTTTTAAGACCACTTTCTTAAACCTTTTGGTGCAATGACTGTTGTGAAATCAAGTTTCAGCCAGTGTTGCATCACAGTGATAATTCTACATATTTTTCTCCAAGCTAAGGAACATATTTTCCCTCAGTTTAAGCTGCTGTTATGAATACCCTCATTACTAATAGACTGGGGTGGGATGGGAAACAGCTTTCAAATTTTGGTTCTTCACTAAATGTGGGAAGTGTTGATGTGCAAGTAAAATGATTGCCTGTTACTTAATGTACATCTGTGAACCAACTGCAAAATCTCACTCTGTCAGTTTAATAAAAATGGAAGAGGTAAATGTGAGAGTCTCTGATCCAAAGTATAAATGTGTACATCAGTGTGATGCCATATGCTGTTTTGAATCTCACCAGTAGTAATGGAAAGATTTCTGCTCCCCCTGGCCTCCAGTGGTTCCTCTGACCTGTGTGGTTGGAAGTGCAGCCCTCCCTGCACTCCCTTCCCAGCTGTACCCCTGGAAACCATGGTAGGGCTGCTAAAGGCTGCCCAGAAGCCTGGTTAAGGGATCCAGCACACCATTGGGTAAGGAGTGCTGCTTCTTCACTCTTAACATGAGCCCCAGGCCAAATGTTCTGGAAGTTATAGATAAGCTGTTCTATTTGGAGACTAAACAGCAGCACCTATTTTATGAATTCTGAATAGATGAGGAGGGAGTAAATTAATGGACCTGATCTATTTATCTCAAGATTGATCTCAAAGCAATTACTGTGACTTACTTAGTGTCAATTACTAGTGGTCATAATTGGAGTTTTGGGCTTTATGAAAGCTTTCTTTCTTGATGGAAAGAGGTTTTGTTTGCTTGCTTGCTTGTTTTAAAAATCTTCTCCAGAGTCTACAGACATTTGTTTCTTCACTCGAAATCTCTTCCTTTCAGAGGTAGGAGACATTTTGGTCACCTTGTGATAGACAAATGTTTCTTTGTTTTATTAGCAACCATCTTCTGCACTGAACTGGCCAATAAAATTCTTCAGTGAGCTGTACAAGTTGTTCCCTTTGTGCCCCATTTCCTCTGAGGGCTTGTGTTTCTTGCTGAAGAATGCCATCTTTCACTGGTCCTGCTGCTCTGAAGCAATGGTTTCTGTTAAAACCATCCCTGATCCAAGC